TCTGCAACGTGTTGCCATGTGGCCTGACATCATGTTATTTGCAATGTGTTGCCATGTGGCCTTACATCATGATATTTGCAACGTGTTGCCATGGTGGCCTTACATCATGTTATTTGCAACGTGTTGCCATGTGGCCTTACATCATGTTATTAGGAGCATTAGTAGAATGTGTTAATTTGAGTAGGATTATGATGGAAATGGCATCATCTTTCTGACTCGGCTTATGTTAACAATTGTTTTTCATCCATACAATTTTTTAAAATCTTTGTTTTTAAAGTTAGATCACACTACTAAACACCTTTGCATAAAAATACGTATGTCAGTATTTAGTTGATCAACAATAGTGCAACTCTACTGGCAAAATTGTATTGGAATCTGTGCATTTGTAATTCTCTTTACTTCTTTTAAAAATTTACAATTCGTACTGGTTACAAACATCACTCGAGTTGAGGTCAGTGTTTAGAAATGTTGAAAAGACTTTGTCCACTCATTAGAAATGAGATACTTCTCCTTCATTCAATCCTTACGTAGGCGTTAAAGAAAGCTGTCCAGGCAGTGCCGCATTCAGATTTCATCTGCGTGCAGTTTTACAATTTCGCCAAGCTGGCCCAAGGGATTTCGCTCGAGGAAACCGTTGTCCAGGTAATTTGCAACTAAATAGACCAGAGTCTTGTCCAACATAGACCCTGGTATTTTAAATTGGTATTTTGAGACTAGAAAGGAAGCAAGGACTTTTGCTCCAGATTTGGCAATTTCTTCATCTCCGATGTCTCTGTATGTGACCAACGCAGCTGAGAAATGACCCATTCCAAGTTCAGCTCTGTTTTGACAAGAAGATTGTAGGCTCAGATGACATTGTGGATTCGTCCTCATCAATTTATTGACACACTTTTAGTTTTGATTGTGATAAGCTTGATGCATGTGACACTTGTTAGTGTTGGACTGGTTATTTCACACATCTGTTCATGTTCTTACATGTCAATAATTGTTTTACATTTTTCGCCTTCAAGAAACAGTGAATCATTTCTTAGTGCTAGATTTACTCCAAAAGTATCTATCTTTTTATTACTTCTGTTTTGAATTTCAATCGTGTATTTTGAGCTGAGGAAAGTCTTTGACAGTTGCCGAGTTTGCTCATGTGAGCACGGCAGAGAGCACTTCAAAAAATAAATTGAGTGTTTGAAAAATAACAGACCAGTTTGGATTTATCTCTTCTTTTTTATAGGAAACATTAAAGCAACTGGATCAAAGAATCAAGAAGATCTACAAGGCACTACCTTTTAATAGTTTTTTCCTTGTCGTCATGGCAACGGATCCAAACAGCTCAGGAAATAGAAGCAATAGTGTCAATGACCAGGTTACTAATGGACGTTTCTTCACAGGGATAAAGGTCAAATATTAACCATTTGGACTCAGGTTGATATCCAATCAACTTTGTGTTACCGAAGTCCAAATGGCAGATATTCAGTGGTGGATGGACACAGTGAAACTGTGTACTACCACTGAGGTAGACTGGATGCCCGTCTTCATGTGGCAACCTCTCAGCACGTGAGATCTTATGGTGAGTTCCTGAACAGCCTAGCTGACATGTATGCAAGTGTCATTGCTGAAGTGCCAGGTCAGAGTTCACCAGTGCTGAAAACTGTTTTGACATGCCATTTCCACCTGTGACTCCATGCATTGGGAAGGCGAGGCAGTATTCAGTATTTGGAAAATTACAGGTCAAGAAATGAAGGCTTAGAGATTCCATCAGTTATGATGACAGTACTTTCACAACTGGCAAGTGATGTTGATGAGGGAAGGTGGAGGGGCTTGTGTTTGGCTGGTACATTGTAAGCGATAATTGTGGAGAGAGCACTGGTACAGTGTTGCAGATTGAAATCCACCTCCAGTCAATTTCTTTGTTCATCTGTATAACCAGTTTCATAATTGGTTGTTTTGCAAGCCTTTATTGCTTTAAACCCTCGTACCTGAAGTGGTAACCCTCCGTGATATTGAATAGCTGAAATGCATGAACTACCAGTCAAATGACCCAAGGTCAGTCCTCACAGCCAGTCTGGGGTCAAGTTTTTCATCCAGCATGCAGCATGACAGTTATAATGAAAGTCTCATGGACCAGTATTTTGTAAATTAACTTTTTAGACTGTGACCTTTGACTTTTCTGCCCTCGTGTCAAAGGCTTCTTGAAGATTAAGGCTGTGTTTGAATTACTTGGCTGTGGCCTGAAAGTAGTCAATAGTAGTGGCCAAAAGTTGCCAGTTCCCACAGAGTCGTGTGTAATTTCAAGCCAAAGCCAAGTAATAATTCAGCCTAAAATTAATCCGTAAACTAAAAATTTGGCCTTTAAACTTAGAGCATTTCTCAAATCGTCCAACTTTTGTGAATACAGAAAGGTAGCAAAGGATCATATTTCCTTGCAACAACATTAAAGTGATTATCATTGAGACTTGAAAACCTTTAAAGTTTCAAGAGGAAAAGCAGGACACAAGTTTGATTCTATTACTGTTCAATTCTTTATTAGTAATAAAAACAGTACACCCTCTGTAGAATCTCACCAATCATGAATGCAGTCTAAACTCTCCATCTTTTAAATGAGTGATATAAAACTGATTACCGCATTACATACGAAAGCCTTGAGTTCAAAAATTACTGTACAATCTACATTGCGAGTTGAAAGGAGAACTATTTCATTTGTTTGAATTTGAATGGTGCTTTTATTAATTATTGCTAAAACTTAAAAAGATGAACAAAAGTTTTGCAGATTATATGAAGTTATAAACAAAAATGGATAGAGCACTGAAACAAAAGGTCTGTATGTCCAAAATTTGCCATTCAGGATTTTTGGTTATTCCATTTTTTTGCCTAACAAAAAAACAGATGTACATGTAGCTATGGTTCTGCAGACAATATACATGTATTCATATTCAAATTTGTTTACAATAATGTTCAAGTTGATGTTACAAGAGACAGATATTTTTTTAATGGTTCAGTTTGCTGTATTTCAATGTCAATAAAGACAACAGCAAGCAACTTGATGAATATTCATGTGTCCGTGTACCATACACGTCCAGTTGGCTAGGGTAAGGAACACACATTCACAGGAGCGTATTGTTTTAAAATGCAACATTACCAGTTTGCATCCTGATTGTAAAAGAATTAAAAACTGCATTTTCAGATATGATGCATGGGGAAAAAGATTAAACACACTGCTTTCAACCTGCTTCAATGGCTGCTAAGAATAACAAGAAGTTTAAGGCCTGACCGTTGGGAAATGTTACTGAATATCTTGGTGAATTACACAGGTAGTTTAGGGTATACAAGTTGTGTTGAATTTTAAGTGTAATCATACTACACACTGGCCCCCTTTTTTCTGTTTATACTTTGTACAAACTATGCAGACTGAAGACATCGCAAGACTTCCACACCAGAATTCACTGTTACGTGCAATCATCATTGGCAATTTCATAGCAAGAATATTTGTCATCAGGACACAAAATCTGGAACGGACTGATGCTCATATGAAAGAGCCTTTTCAGTAGTTCTCTGTACATGGTTATGGTTTGTTTTACGCTGAGCTGCCGTCTTTGCATGGTTACCAAAGCTCACAGACAGAGTTCCTGTAAGTTGGCCACGTAAAGTTGGGTACCAGCCTAATTTCTGCATGGTGTTGGCCTCTGTCTAGATCAACTGACTGCAGCTGAGTGATACACACACATCAATGGGAAGCAGCCGCAGCCACTAACTAATGGCTTCCATAGGTGCACATGTATTATAGGGCACAGCCTCAACGTTGGACACCGCTTATTTAGGCTAGGTATTACCAAGATGAAGCAAGTGCCAGAGAGGCCTACTCGCATGTACATGTGTCTGTAATGCCAAGGTGCCAAACTCTGAATAAAGATTGATCCAGCCTTTTTGTGACTACAGCAATACTGGCGTCTTTCTGAAAGTTAATGGTTAATCGCACTTTGTGTTTCACACTTCAAAAGCAGGTTTATCAAGGTTAACCAAAGAGTACACGATGGGTTATCAATGGATTCCTATCTATAAAAGTTCATCAATATTTTCACAATATTAAAGAGCATAGTACATTGCTAATCCTCCCCAAACACACACTTTGGTACTGCAGTAAACAAAATGCATACCTAATAGGCCATTTACAATGTCGGCTAATACAATGTGTGCATTTGTTCTTTGGCTGTGAAGGAACTTTGATATTCTGAATGAGGCTGAAAGAATTCGGGAGAATGAAGAGGTCTTGAAACAATGTCCGCTTGTGAAGATGTACGGTACAAGTGCACCTTGCCTGGTGCATAATGCCTGTTGTTTTAAGTAAAATGGTCTGCCAGGCATCTTTGTTTCATATTATCAGGTGTCCTAACTTTTTTAATGAATGAGGAAAGCCTCCTAAGCAAGGAATGACTTTGGACTGTTCCTAAAAAGGGTCCTCTCTCAACCAAACCCAAGTTATTATGAACTTGATGGTCAAAGAAGGGACATGATATTGTAAGTGATGACCGAAACCCTGCTGTCACTGACCAACACTACATAAATGCCCAATATGTACGGTTGCACAAATGAGTGCTCCAAACACTGAAATGCTTCCTTCTCCAACAAACATTTTGTCTAATTTCTGCACTACAACTCGTTACCTTTTCAGTATAAAACCTAACTTCAATCTGAATATCCTTTATACATATTAAGATTTGTTTCTGAACACAATTTATTGAAGGGTTAGGATAGGAAGGGTTTGTAAAATAGCTATTAAATAAACCAATTTCTACAGAATAAGAATGATACATTTTATGCCAATTCTGGGTGAAAATGGTTGTGTCAACACTCGGTAAATTGTCCACATACATTCTCTCTACATTTAATACACCTTCCAATACTAGCACAGCAATAATAACTAGAGTGTGCCCATACGGGTAAACTCAACGATGCTACCTCCAACCCACAAAAGTAATTGGGTTTGTTGAATTTGTTCAAGGACACTTGAGCCATAACTACAACCACCCACAAAATGAAGTCCATCGATCAAGTTGTATAAACAAAGCTGGACTTCGAGCATCCCAGTGATGAAACCACTCAGCTGTGTGTCATGGTCATGCAAGAGACAAACTGATTGGTTTTCTTGGGAGCAATACAATTATGCTAATTTCCCTTTGTAGTAAAAAAAACCCCAATATAGTCACAATGTTGGGATTCAACTTTCAAATTATTTGATGAAATAAGGGGCTTACCAAGTCAGTTATCAATGTACTATTCTCCCTGAGGCTCTGAAGAATAAACTGGGTAGCCAAATGTATTTGGCAATAGATACTGATAAATATTTCTGTTCAATATAAATGGGGGATGAAAAGTCTTGACACAATTGTACCACAACTGTGACCTGTCACCACAAAATCAGCTGGAAGTCGGAATTTTCACAAATTGAGATATTGGTATTTTTAAAGCAGCAGAAAGAGAGCTTTTCAATGGTATGTACATGACACACTTAACCCTAACCCTCCTCAATCCTCCAACAGGTGAAGGATTCAGGAGGGTTAGGGTTAATAGGGTAAAAGTATGAGGTGAGAGTGTGGCATTATTCTGGCAGCTTTGCACCTTTATTTCTGACATTGTTTCTACATTTCTGACCGGGCACGAATAATGCTTTCATCAAAATTACTGGGAAAATGACATTTTAAATATCTGATCCTGCTAACAAAATTAGAATTAATTAGAGGCGTTACTCTTACAAAATATTACAAAATGCCAAAATTGACCTCCACTTCAATATTTGACTTTAAACCCTCAAAACTGGAAATAGCTTTACGCTCATTGTCATGCCAGGTCACGATTGGGTCAAATAATGCCTATTTCCTGAAAATGAGGACTCCCTCCCCAACTACCGGAACCTGTCCTTTGTAGAGGCCATCTTACAAGCAGTCATGTATATGTTTGACAAACAGGATATCCTTTCGTGCCACTGTTTCCATATTCAGCCCAAAACCGTTGGTAACGATACCAGAAAATTCAGCACCAACGATTAGCGTGTTTCACAGGTTAGCAATGTAAAAACCAAGCATAAATTCCATAACTAAGGATTCTGAGCTTACTAAACCAGCGTCAAATGTCTGTGCTAGCATGGTAAGCACAGAATTCTTAAGTGTAACATTCGGTGGTTAGTAAAGCCTCGAAATTAGGCCCATTTCACAACACGTACAGTACTGCCAACAGAATTTTGTAAAGATGTAGGCACAGTAAAGAGCATGGTTCAATTCACAGCACTGCTTAACAGCAGAAAAGTTGTGCTTACTGTAACCAATTTTGCTTACTGTAAGCACAGTTTCATGGTATTGCCTGGCAAGGCTGTGCTTACGCATGCTGGTATCCTGATTCTGCTGAGCCGATCTTTGCAGTTCTGAGTGTGAAATCTGCCCCAACTATGCAAAAGGAAATACATGTTAGCAGAATCTTCCTACTGTAACCGTGACATTCTTCCTCAAACCTATCAGTAAATAAGCTCTACAAAATTTAACTTCCCTTCATGTATGCGTGCCATTCTGCTAATGCCCAAAATATTGTACAAACTTCACGGGTATATTTCTACAGCTTCAGGGGTGAACTAGATCAACTTTGGAATTTAACCATGAACAATTTTTCAGTTCGTTAGACTTCCAGAGTTTCACAGACCAAGTCTTTTTAAATACAGGGTTTTAACAGTGCACACCACAACACTATCAAACAAAAAATCTGCAATGTAATAGGAGACAGTAACAAGTATGCTTGCGTTGTATTATTCCTGATTCTCTTGGCATATATGCTAAGAACTCCCCAAAAATCTTCCACTGTGATGGACCAAATGACACATTCTTTGTACGTCCAATTTAAGGGCAAAGGATATGGAGTGTAAATCGTTGTGGTTACTGTAAAATTCACAGGGTTTAGAGGTTGGCCATTTTGGAATGAGCTATTGTCAATTTTAAACTCATCAAAATTAATTTGGACCACGACCATCTGCAAGTACATGACTATCACTGATGCCAAACCACAATGAGGACAGACAGTCTTATTAGACAAAACAATGCCCTCAATCACACGGTACCTTCGCAGGAAATTACAAACGGCACGACTGTACACTCACACGGTACATGTTTGTTTACTCAGCCAACGAAGATTGTGCTCTGAGTAACAGAGAAGCCTGTGGGTGTTGATGAGAAGGTATGGGATAGTACCTCAGTTTGCAAAATGAAGTCTGTGGTATAAATGGCCACTGATATGAGTTTGGGTGGTTCCTAAATTCTCCTAATTCACCACATCTTGGTAACTAAGCCCTACATGTTTAGTATTAAACAGACTGCACAAACTACAAAACAAAGTCATGAATTTTGGTAATCTTGGGTAAAAAGTGACTGTCCCTTAAAAACTTTTAATAAAGTATGGTTAAGCTCAAATCTAGCATACACAAAATAAGGACAGTTTCTCTATTTTGCCCAAAGAACAACTCCTCACCGAGGCTAAACTGCATATTGTTTTCCACATTCATTTTGTGTGATTTGTTTGTGCATCATCATGGCACAGTAATTTCACAAAACGAAGCATTTCTTTAAAGATACAATCCCATCAAAATTTATGCCATTGCATTAAGCCAGTAAACAGAACAGTCCATGATTCTATGCTGATGCTAAAAGTCATATATGAATAACCCTAGCTACATGACAGCCACGATTTTTCTACAGAGGCCACCAAAAAATAAAAATTGTTGAGAGAAGTAAAGCAAAAAAGAGATTTGTAAGAGATAGGCATTGAACCCAACAGATACGCACAATGGAACTACTAAAATTCCAAGTAGCTGTATTATTGAAGCTTGGTAACTTATTCCGTTTGACCTCTCCTGGTGCCTGGCTATTTTGTGTAGCTGTGTTCAAGTTTCCTAAATGGGAATAACACATTCTCAGCCTTTAAATCAGCTCAACTTAGGACAAACAAGAGACCATTGACAAAGGACCTCAAAAACGTGTCTCTCCTGAACAGCACAATAGCCAGCAAGGCTAGGAACAAAATGAAGGCAGTTCTGAATTATACACCAAATATGGCTCATGGTATAATTCTGTCCAGTAAAAAATAAAGTTTGGTATACTAAAATAATGCGTGAAAAAAAAAAATTAGGTAAATTTTTTTGTAATTACCCTCCCAAAAAATGTTGTGTGAAAAAATCAATTAATCTCACAGAAAAATTGCCCCAACCTTTCTCTAAGTCATAACTGTGAAAGTCCATCCACTGACCTCAACCTGCTTGTGAGCAGGTTTTGAAAAGAAAAGAAATGACCTTTTTTCAATGAAATAAAACAGATCTCTTCACAATTTTACTCCAGGAATATGGATAAGCGTGAACTTTTTTCTCTCAACTGGCTTCCTATATTTACGCAGGTTGTCACATGTGTGGGTCGAGTTGGAAAGGTCAGGTGACAATATTATTAAACTGTTGCATTTCTCTTGTGCTCATAGCAATCTGTTACATAACAAAGGACACACTGACCTTCCACAACTGGGAACTGATGACTTATCTGTGTAGAAGGTACAGATTAAATTGGTCCAGTGGCTGTAACTATCACAGGTATTACGAAAACATGTCAAAGTCTATGATGACTTCCCTTCTCATTCGATTTCCCATTTTTATGCAAAATTCCAGTTTTACAAAGCAACAGGTAGACAAGGTAATCAACAGCTTTACTCCCTTCTTTTTTGAAATCACTCAGAAATACACTGGGAATGGAAGATTTGATCACATCATTCTCGTCATCAAATCTAGAAACCTGGAACTTATGGCCACCTTTGCTCGCAATTTTCCAACACATTTATCGCTAGATTTGATTTTAAAGGAGAGCACTATAAATGCATCATGCATGTACCCTCACAAGGTCTGCTAGCCCTAAGTTCAGTTTTCTTCTAACTTTCCTGTAATTTTAAAAGCTACTGAACCATCTTCCCTAATTCTAAACAATAAGACCACTTGCATGAAGCAAAGCAACATGGACAGCACTTTTATATTGACTTTAAACCTAAAATGGCTCAAACTTTACACTTGGGAAAGAAAGCCTTGAGTACTGCAACTGTGAAAACCGGAGTCCTGTACTAATACTTAAACACACAAATTTAAACCATGAATAAACTAGCCTTCCTAAATCTGCACCCAAACCTTAATGTAATGTCGGGTTAAATATACTGATATTTCCAACCTTTCTCACACGGAAATTGGCTAAGCATGGGTTTCCAGTCACAGCCAAATGAAGAAGTTCTCTTCCAAGGTTTGAGAAACCCTATTAATGCCAACTGTTCATCCTCATTTCATTTACACCAGTACAACAACCCACCAGTCAAACAGTTTGAGTCACTGCAACATCTATGTTCAGTCCAAGTTCCACACAGGAACTAATTAATAAATAGAGATCAACCACATGTACATGTACACATGAAATACTGGCAACACAGAAGTTATGAATGTATCATACTGTACCTTTGGCTAAGCCCTAATGCCACTCAAAACCAAGGCAATTTTTAGCAGCCCTAAGCCACGTGTAATTTCCGAGCAAGGCTAAGTATGTGAAATTTTGCTGACCAGAGCCTCAATGCACTTCACCGAGACCCTATTACAAGCACATCACATAAAACATGGGTGCCAAATTCAGACAGGGGAGTCAGGTACCACACTTGTAGGCACAGTGGTTCTTTCCTCGCCTTCCACCTCTGCGGTCTGGGTTCAATTCCCAACTCGGTCCACACGTGGATCTGGTTTTCAGTCCCTACCTGATTCCGCAGGTTTTACCCAGAATATTCCCCTGGGGTTTTCCTCCCACCTCTTAAAGTGTAACTGCTTCTCACTGTCTCCTCTCTACAGGTTTCTTCAGGCTTATGAGCTACAGTGCCTGGGCTGCTTTTGACGAATTCTCAGTATCATGACCAGAAATACTTACAACAGAGAACTGGTTTGAAATTGTCATCAACAAAACTGTAGGTAAATATGAATGTACAGTGTAGCTTGAAATGCATAGAAGCATTGGAATATTTTGCCATTAAACAATACCACAGTGTCTCTGAACATAGGTAATCACTCAACTACATGTCCACTACCATATAAAATTTCAATTTTAATTTACTGTCCACACTAAATTGGCTCTTAGACAAGAAATCCTAAGCAAGAGTTTAATCAAATGTACCATTACTACATGTTTACAACCTTGAAATGATGGAAGCCAAAAAAATTCAATTTGAAATGCAAACAAAATGGAATTTGAAAAATCTGTAGACAATTGCTACCCAAACTTTGTATGAACTTTCCATCAGACTTCTAAGTATATTTAGACTAAGAATGACTGAAAAAAAGAAAGTTACAAGCTCAAATCCCCCACCAGCAACTTCTTAAATTCAACATTTCAAGGACAGTTGCCCAATTGATGAAAAAAAGAATACACGTAAATTCAATTCCGACTTCTGTCACACGTTTTTGTCCATACCAAATGATGTATGTACTTATATACTTTGATGCAATTAAAAAATAACTTTATTTACAATCTAATTAAATACTTACAAGGAATCCAATGCCTTATGTCACCCAGCTTAGCTAATCCAGAGTCACTTCTGGGTTTAAAGGTATTGAGAAGAATTTTACCCGATGAGAGTCAATAGAAACCCTTCCCATATTTCACCCACATGTGGTCAGGCTGAGTGAAACATCAGAGAAAAAAAAAGCTCAGTTAGCACTTTATGATCGACACTATAATAAATGACTAAACCAAAAAATGGCCTGGGGACATTTTGTAGGATCGTGTCGCATATTCAATGTGCACGGAATATCTCATTAATTAACCCTAACACTCCTCAGTCCTCCAACAGGTGAAGGATTGAGGAGGGTTAGGGTTAACCATCCACTGTATAACCTCCTGTTAGCACACATCTTTCTCCAGCCCTCCCCAAAAAAAGTTTTCTCTTAAATGACGGTATCAACTACCGGTATCTTTACTGCACTGTCAACTTTGAATCCCACTTAAGTTTTGTCTTTTTTTTTTTACAAATAGGTTGATCCACTGGTGTTTGCACACTGTATGTACTGCTCTAATGCTGAGAGAATATCAAATTCTGTTATCTTCTGTTACCATATTCACATCCTCACACAATCATGATTACGCCTTCAACATGCACTGCCGGTATGTACAAACTGGCCATGAATCTGATTGCTAGAATCATGAAATTTGAGACTGACAGCCAGCAAATGCATCAAATGAGTTGAAATTAAGTCTGGGTTCCACACATGTACTCTCTAAAGAATGACTGCTCACAGCTGATGACACATTGGGACCTGACTGAACTTGGAACTGCCATAAACCCAAAGTTCCACACCGTTTGCAGTCTTGGTTGCCTGAGAAGCTCAGGTACCAGACCATTCTCCCCACGATTCACATGTGGTGCACAACACAAAACCACTAAAGAGAGAGTGGTACATAGATCTTTAGACAAACACGAGATCTTGATGCATGAGAATCATTACTGTGATAAAAAAAGTTTTGTCACACATTAAATGTAGCTCCTTGTGGAAGTACGTACCTGTGTGATCCTACATGAACTCAGGAAATTCTTATCCTTTTTAAATAGTACCCCATATTGCATAATTTTGAGCACTGAGATGAGTTGTCGTAGCTTTATAAGACATGATCCCGCTTGTGTGGCCGTTCGTCCTTCTCATGGTCATCTGACGTCCCTTCCGCACACTGGCCTCGGAACCTGGAGAACAAGTTAGGCATGTTGACGTTGGGCATCTTGGGCACGTTGGGCAACTTGGGCACGCCGGGGAGTCTTGGCATGCCTGGTAGCCAGCCGCGGCCGCGCCCCACACAGCCCAGGTCAGTGATGGACTCAGCCATGGATGCCGTCTCCACGTTCATAGCACTGGCTGCGGCTGCCTCATCCGATGGGGCGGCGGGCACTTGCTGCGACGGCTGCGGGGTCCCCACTGTCTCTTCTCCTGATTCTTCTGCGCTGTCCGTCCCTGAGCCTGATTCAGGGTCATTGGACATCTGGCCGCGAATGCGGGAGACAATGTTCATGTTGACACTGGGCAGCCAGTTGCGACGGCCAGCAAACCAGTTCCTGGTGTGGCTGGCCATGGCGCTGGGTAGCTTACAGGGCTGAATCTTGGATAGATACAAGCCAAACTGCTTCATATAGTCCGTAACCACACTTTCCATTAAGGACAACAAAAATAATGAAAAAAATGGTCCACTTACAAAATTCAAAGGTGTACATATGAAATTAAAATTACTGGCTAGAAAACAAACCAGTTTAAAATACTACAAATTAGTTGACTGGTTTAACATTTTAACACAGGAGTCAACAACTTTAAACCAAGTGATAACTAAGTGAAGAACAATGACAAGCAACAGTAACCCATTAACACCTGACACAAAGACAAAATATTTGTATCTCACATGATCAAGGGCTATGCCTCTTAAATACTGTCACCACTGGAGGTACATGTACATGTATGCTGCAGTGGTTAGGTCTGTGTATTGCACAATTTAACACTGCCTGGTGAAGAAGTAAAAAAAAAAAAATCTCAAGGTCAAAAGCAGAGCTTCAATATGAGAGTCAAGATGGAAGTTTACACTGGGGAATGCTCCTGATAATGATATTCAAAGGTCTAAATTTGGAATCTGTGTCAAAGGTCAAGGTCAAATGGCAAGGCTGTGAAGGGACTACAGCTGAATTCAAACATCAACCTTTTCCTTAATGCCAAGCCTTTGAGGTCAAAATTAGTTGATATCATGAAAAGTACACATACAAGCACAGACTTTGATTAGTAAAAAGGTTAGAATGTATTCAAACAAAGGATATATCAGCGTCCATGGTGCCTGGCCACCGTTGATGTATAACACGTATGACAGGCCATCTTTGGGCTGGCCACGGATGGCGTAGTAATACGGCAGGTACTCATGCTTCCTAAAGTTATGCTTCTCGTAGAATTTAATGGCAGTGGTATTGGTGGCCAAGACATGGAGGTAGACGGCCTTGCAGTTGGAGCGCTCGCTGGTGGTGAGATAGGAGAGGAGACGGTCCAGGAGAGCAGTAGCTGCAGAGCAGGTGAGAGAAACACAACATGTGACATTGTCAGAGAGATGGTACCCCGCGGTACAGTTGAGTACAAATCTTAGCAGACTAGCCAGATGATGTAACTTGTGTCCTACTTCATTACCAGTTTGTGCCAGGGGATGTGGTCACGTTATCAGACAATCTGGACTTGCATTTTGCAGGAAGGGCTGACTGGTCTAACGGCCAGCATTCCCTGAGTTTGTGGTGGCAGATTGCGTGTACAAGTCCAATCCGTTTGTTTTTTTACACATAACGTCTGAGAAGTCATTGGAAGTGGACTATGTGTTACACGTACAGTGTCAGTGTGTCTGTGTGTTGCAGCACTTCATTGTTGCACCTTGGAGACTTGTTGATGTACTCCAAAAATGTGAGGTGTCAGAGCAAAATATCACACAAATACCGTATTGGTTGTAATGACCCTCACAAGTTAGTATTTGTAAATATTTGTCTGTGTTTGAAAAGTTAGTTGCTACATCTTGCCTTTCTTGAAAGCAAAGCTTTTTGCCAGAAAAAATGGCACCTCCCACCAAAGGTTGAGTATGCTTCAAAACTAGCTTTTCATGGTAGGAGGAAAGACATACAGTCTCCTAAAGGCAAACAGAGCATGCTGTCCAAAACAACAAGACTTCACATTATTGGCTGTTTTCAGAGTCAACACTGCCTCACCGTTACATGAGAGATTTTTTCCTTGATTACTGTCAAGCAAAACAGCCAGAAGGTAATTTTCCCCAAGTTGTATCAAATCCACAATAACTCTATACCTTCCAATGTCCGTTAAACTCAACAAGGAGATTTTCAAGGACTTGTGTAATTGGGAAAGGAAAGGAACGCTATTACCCGTACCTTTAAAGTTTGATGCACCTTCAAAATTAAAAGACTTGGCCATCAGGTTCAAGCACAGAAGAGGATTTGGAAGAATTCAGGAAGGTACCGGTAGTGTTTTCATTGAAAATGCACAGAGGGTTCAGGTTCTAACTTATAATGTACACTAAATATCAACACTGACCGGTTTGATTTTTCCAAAGAAAACTTACGTATCCCTTACAATCAAATCCGTAACAACTTCGTATCAGACACACACCGGTACATGTAGTTTTTATTCTTGAAAATGTTACTTCTCAATCACACATACCATACATGTACATTGTACATGTATGTGTGTAGTAATGTCACATACAGACTGCTTATCTACTGTACATGGAGCAGGTGCCCTATCCCTCCAAAAAGATCAATGAAAAACTCAGGCCCACAAAATGGCAAACTTGAAAATAACTACACATAACCAATGCTTATGAAATGACACGTACAAACAAGCTAGGGTACTGTTTATTGGAAAATGTTCAATATGAGATCTATATCTTTGTTTCTGTACGTACATATTCTGGTATGAGAGCAATTCCTAAGTGCACTGCAAGACACACAGTATGGCTATTAATCCAAATGAACACAAATATCCCTAGGAGATGATTCTAAATGGAAGTTAAATACAGCAGGAGTCAACTTCCAGCTTAAAGGCCAAGCGTTTGGAGCTGACAGAATGACCAACATGAAGGATGACAGCGATGCACAACTCCTACAAGCTAATATTAAATAAACACCAATTTGGGTTTGCTACATGTAAGTGCACTAAATGCATGCAGTCAGTGCTTTTTGTTCTTTCTGTCTGCAGTGCTGGTAAATTTTGTGTCTCCTACACTGTTTCATCCAAATTCATAAATATTTCCAATTTAGCAACAATGGTGACCGACAGCTAGAAAATAATTGTATCCAAACATTACATAGAACTTAACACTCCATCAGGCTGGGGGAGTCAGGTTGGCATAGTGGTTCTTTCCTCGCCTTCCACCTCTGCGGTCGTGGTTTGATTCCCAGCCCGGTCCATGTATGGATCTGGTTTTCAGTCCCTACCTGATTCCGTGGGTTTTACCCAGAATATTCCTCTGGGGTTTTCCTCCCACCTCTAAAACTGTAACTGCTTCTCACTGTCTCCTCTCTACAGGTTTCTTCAGGCTTGTGAGCAACAGTGTCTAAGGTGCTTTGGAGGAATCCTTGGTGTCATTACCAGAAATTATTAATAATAACAACAATAAAAGCAGGATGAGATGTCAAACAAAAGAAGACTTTTTATTTACATTTACATGTAAACTTATCATAAACTGATTACATGTCAGGGTTCCCAGCATTCCATACAAATAAAATCCAGAGTTTCCTCAATGAATTTTCAAACTCCACAGTAAGATCTATTTCCAGTTAGACCCATCTTCAAAATGTTGAGGAGATTTGTCAGATGTCAACAAAAAAGGAAAAACAAAAGCAAACAGACTGGTCACTTCCTCTTTCCGGCCTAACATGTCCCCAAATTTTCTTTGATTTGAGGCATTTTTATCAAATTCCAATATTTCCCAATTGGAAAAGGGGAAAACTCATTTTCCACGTTTTTCTTGATTTCCAGGTAGACTGAGATTGATAAATACAATTGATTAGACACAATCCAATGTGCATTATTGAGCTCACACTCCCACTGCATAGTAATCCTTTGTAAACACCAACCAGTTTAGACTGCCAGAAGTATGTTTAAACAAGGAGAGAATCAATCATCCCCAAATGGGAAGCAAATAGGAACAAGTCATATTATAAGGGCCCATACAGTGTACATGTACATGTAATTATGTTAATAAATGGTTGTTTGAGTCTCATTAAGCC